AAAAAACAAATAAACAAATATACATATATACTCTCCAATTAACCACTCGGGAGGTACAGAGCGTGACAAACAGATAAACATTGAGCTACTATATAAATATTAATATGTTATGTTCATCGTTTTCTTTAAAGTTTCGATTTCAAATATTATTGTTGTTGTTGTTTTTCTGCTTCAAAAATGTTTGTGTGTATTAATAGTTCTTTATTTACATACATAAGTTCAATAAAGGCTGATGTGTATATTTACACACTTATTACAAATAAAATCTTGACTTCAATCTGGCTGCAATCACGAAGACGCGATAAAACGTTTGCTTTTCAGTAATTCAAACTAAAACGCGTCCTTTTAAAATTTTCCTTGAAAGTTGTTTTTTGTTTTGTTTTTTGAATTTCGCGCAAATCTACGCGAGGGCTATCTGCGCTAGCCGTCCCTAATTTAGCAGTGTAAGACTAGAGGGAAGTCAGCTAGTCATCAACACCCACCGCCAACTCTTGGGCTACTCTTTTACCAACGAATAGTGGGATTAAACGTCACATTATAATGCCCCCACGGCTGAAAGGGCGAGCGTGTTTGGTGTGACGGGGATTTGAGATTGGCGCAGTCTTTCGTGTGGATAATAATTATTCAAGACTTTGATCTCGATCAGGAAAATTGATATAGATTAAATAGGTCTAGTAGCGATAATGGTTGTTTAAATTTTTAAATCGTATTAATTCAAAGTGGTCACTATGCAACTTTGTATTTCTGTTAGCAGAACTTCCATTCACGCTGATTGGTCAGATGTGGCCGAATGGTTGACATACTCGAACTTTGAATCCAATAATTCATGGTTCGAAACCCTTCCCTGTAAAAACGCACACCACACTATGGATCCGTGGGTATGTTTTAAGAGTGACTGTCAAATCCCACCATTCGATAAGACAAATGTATCTAAAGATTTGGAGGTGGGCACTGTTTACTAGCCGTCTTCCTTTTTTGTCTATCATTTCGAAATCTGGGACGGCCGCGCGCAAATAGTCCATGTATAGCTTTGCGCGATGTTTTGAAGCAGAGAAACAAAATCTAGTTATAAGGGCTGGTGGATGGTTTTAATCAATCTATGTACGTGCCTGCCTGTTTTGTCTCTAAGAGCTTATCGTTGTTTTAGGCCTAAGACATGTGATTGTTAATGCAAGTTAGATTAGTGTCAGCATTTTTTCTTCGTCATATTTTCATTAAATTCTGTCCACACTTATTAAATTTTGTAATTTAAAATTGTCTTCCTTTTCAAGAAAGTTTCTTTAAAAACATAAAGTGTTCATAGACTTACAGTAATATTATGTCCCCCCCCGCTGGGTCAGGTAAGTTTCCGAACTTACAATGCTAGAATCTGGGATTTGATTTCCCGCGGTGGACAGATCCATTGTGTAGTTTTTGTGCTAAAAAAACAGCAACAACAGTAATGTTATTTTAAATATTTAGTATTTCGTCATAATTTGTAGACAGCCCTAAATGCTGACTTTCGGTAAACTGCTCTCTATAAATAATTTAAACAACCTACAGTTTATTATGAGCTAAATAAATAATACGTTACTTCTGTTTAGACAAATAGACAACCACAGTTGTTATTTTATCGTTTTATCTTAGGCAGCAAGAAGCTAGTGAAAAGTAAAGGTGTAAAACGAAAGAAACCGGAAAAGGCTACCTACCATATTGAAGATTCCGCAGCAAATGACAGCAGCGCTTCTAGCGGCAGTCAAGCGAACGACAAACTCAAAAGAAAAAAATCGAGAACGACGTTTACGGGGAGACAAATTTTTGAACTGGAGAAGCAGTTCGAGATCAAGAAATACTTGTCTTCGAGTGAGAGAGCAGAAATGGCCAAATTGTTGAATGTTACAGAACAACAGGTAGAAATAGATAAATATTGGAAAAATATATATATCAGCTAAGCCTAAGTGCTTCATGATAATCTAAACCATTATTAGAAAAAAATGTGTGTGTTTGTGTGTGTCCATTTATAACTGATGAACCTCTGGACCAATTATCATCCAAACCTGGGATGTACCCGTAGGGCTGACTTCCCAAGAAGTGACATAAGGGTGATCGTTGAAAAACTCTGTGTGTGTGTGTATATACGTTTATAACTAGTTAACCTTTGGACCCAATGTCACTAAACTTGGCATGTAGCCTTAGGGCTCTCAAGGGAGTGACATAGGTGTGGTCGTCGGTTTGGACCATACTTCCGTATGTCATCTCCATGGAGCCTTGTTTCTTCCTCGTCAACTAGCTTGTGTATGAACTAGAATAATTACTGAAGAATGAAGAGCAATTAGAAAACACGATCCATAAAACTCTTAATTGTTTATTAACTATACTAATGGTAAATTACAATTACATTAAAACTTGTCCGCCATTTTGACGTTCTGTATGGTTGCTCCCTCTCGGATTACATTGAAATTTGAAAACAACTGTACGTTGTGTCTGGCTACATCCTCTAAGATTACATTAAAACTTGTCCGCCATTTGTACGTTGTGTCTGGCTGCACCCTATAGGATTACATTAAGACTTGTCAACAAGTTGTACGTTGTGTCTGGCTACATCCTCTAGGATTATATTAAGACTTGTCAACCAGGTTGTACGTTGTGTCTGGCTACATCCTCTAGGATTACATTAAGACTTGTCAACCAGTTGTACGTTGTGTCTGGCTACATCCTCTAGGATTATATTAAGACTTGTCATCCAGTTGTACTTTGTGTCTGGCTACATCCTCTAGGATTATATTAAGACTTGTCATCCAGTTGTACTTTGTGTCTGGC